GTGTGTACCGACAATACTCACAAAAGTTTGGATAAAAAATGTGTTTGTTCTGTCAGGGTTTGTGGTCTGCAGCGTGTTTTGAGGCGAATCTTTGGTTTTGAGGAGTTTCTGTAGAAGAATGAGGAATTTAAGAAGGAAAATAATGAAATACAGGCTGACACGTTGGGCAAAGCTGGAAACATGGACTTTAGAATTTGTTTTTTATTTTTCTTGGTCTTTTTTCCACACTTTTTGTTTTAGTAACAGACGGACTGATGACAAATTATCAAAATAGATACTGAAAAAAATAAATATTGAGAATTTCTCCCAAAACTGATGTTTCTTTTGAATCAAAGAGATTTTTAAATGTGTATATTTTAGTGTTTTTGTACAAAGGCTGCACTTGTGTTTATGTTTTTGATTTGGTCAAACTGTGGTGCGGAGGAAAAACAATGTTGAGTTGTTCCTGATAGAAAAAGATTTTCACTGTGTTTGAATCAAAACTGAACCAGGACTAAACTAAGACTAAACCAGGACGAAACCAAGACTAAACCAAGACTAAACCAGGAATAAACCAAGACTAAACCAGGACTAAACCAGGACTAAACCAAGACTTAACCAAGACTAAACCAAGACTAAACCAAGACTAAACCAAGACTAAACCAGGACTAAACCAAGACTTAACCAAGACTAAACCAAGACTAAACCAAGACTAAACCAAGACTAAATCAGGAATAAACCAAGACTAAACCAGGACTAAAATAGGTCTGAATCAGGTCTAAATCTGGTCTAAACAAGGTCCAAACTGAGTCTAAAGCAGGTCTAAACCAGGGCCAAACCAAGTCTAAACCAGGACTAAACCAGGACCGAACCAGGTCTAAACTAGGTCTAAGACAAGCAGAGGATGTTCCGGGTTCTTCCTCTGCGCTCTCGTGTTTGTGTGGGAGTCTGGTCTGGGTCACTCCACACTCCGACTGAACGCAGCTTTTGTCAGGACCAGAGCGGCTCGAGGAAATGACTCAGTGACTTTGGAGTTTTTGGGGACGAGAGAGATAATACTGTCGTTCTTTTACGGTCTTGTTATGGACCGACATTTTAAACTAGTTTCTGTGTTCATTTAGTCTCCACAAGTCAAAGAAGTCACAAGTGCATCCATCTGTAGTTTTCTAATAACTAAACTTTTACTTATTTTGAGAGCGTTGTTTAAACAGGGAGAATTATGCAAAAACTTTTTCGATTTTTAGAGCGGTCAATCATGTCCTGACGTTGTTCCTGATCAAAAAACATGCCCAAAGAGTTTTAACGCTCGCTGTACACAGACTGCAGGGTACGGAAACCGAGAGGGGCCACAACAAACGCAAACGCCGCAACAAATACAAACGCGACGACACAACAAAAAGCCACAACAAACCAAAAAAAGTCACGAGGGAAATGACCGCTGGACTCTGTATTTGTTGCGGCGTTTGCATTAAAATAAACGCCGCAACACAAGTGCAAATGCCGCAACACATTAAAAAGCCGCAACACATTAAAAAGCCGCAACACATTAAAAAGTCACAACTGAAGTGACCGCGGGACTCTTATTTTCCAACGGACCAATCAAGCTGCAAGTGAAGAAGAAGAACTACAACGTGAAACAAATAATGATAAAACAATAAATTACTTTAATCCGTGTATCATTCGTTCATTTGTTTTTCAATATAAAACCAAAAATAAGAAAACGAAAAAACAACAGTTTTGTTCATTATTTGTCTCCAAAACCAAAATGAAAAAACAGATAACGATTCGTTTTTTCAGTTTTCGATTTTGTGTTTAAATGTAGAATGGAAAAAACGGATAACGGCCGTTTCCCGTTTACGTGACTTCCGAGACTGCGATGCTGAACTTTTGCACCGGGTACGGACTGAACCAGGACTGATCCAGGTCCGAGACCAGACCAGGACCAGAGCGGGACCAGACCAGGACCAGAGCGGGACTAGAGCAGGACTGGGGCGGACTCCAAGCTTTGACTCTGAGCCTCCGCGGGGTCCAAGCCTCAGCTTCGAGCTCCGGCCCTGCCGTGGGCTCTGAGCCTCCGATCTGGTCTCGGTCTTGTCTCTGTCTCAGGCCCGCTCTGGTCCCGCTCTGGTCCCGGTCTGGTCCCAGTCTCAGTAGCGCTCCGGTCCTGGTCTGATCCCGGACCTGGTTCATTTGAACCAAAAGCTCTTAGTTCATTTTCGTTGGTGTGAAAGCGTCAGTTGGAGGCTTTGCACCACCTCGGAACCAGCCGCGGTTCTGGAGCAGCCCGTCCGGACCTGTAGTCCACAGCGCATTCTCACTTTCCCCGCACGGAACCAGCGCGGAGACGATGACACGGAACTGCTCGGACCGCTGGTCTCGGTCTCAGTTCCGCTCTGATCCCGCTCTGGTCCCGGTGTGGTCCCGGTCTCAGTCCCGCTCTGGTCTCGGTTATTTTTGGTTTTATATTGAAAAACGAATGAACAAATGATACACGGATTTACTTTTACTTACATTTCCAACTTCTTCGTTCCTTTACTTTTACTTGGTTCTAGAAAAAGCCCGGGCACTTGTTTCCAGGGCAACGGACGCCCTGGATGCACATCAAGTATTTTTCTCCCGTTTGTCCTCGGCATCCAGGATGGACGTCAGGGGCGTCTGAACACAAATGCAAAGGCTCCAGTTAGAGGCGTCCAGGGCATTTTTTGACGCCGCATTCTGAACGCACCTTTAGAAATTCATTAAAATCAGTAGCACCCTGCCACACTGACCTTTGACCTCTGCCACACTGACTTCAGTGCAGAAAGAATCTTCAGGAAGTCGTGTATCTTGGCCAGACATTGCAGCGTTCTCTGACGTCAAACTGACAAAATGACATGAGCAAAACAGGAACTCAGACACAGAACTGACAGATCTGGAGAATTTTCAAAATAAAACGTCCCCGCACACGCCTGGTGCTTCACAAATGTGTTTACCCAGTGTAGAAAGTCACGGTGTCCGAAAGTAGAAGCCAGTGGAATCCAAAGGCGCGAGAAAGTGTTCGCAGTGTAAAATGCTGCTGTTGTTTCCCAAAAGGCATCTTGTATTTGTAGTCTCTGAAACTTTTTACAATTTTTCACTTCTCAGAGTCAGTAAAATTTCTTTTTTGTCCCATTTTTACAGAAGCCGAGAGGGGTCATAACAAACGCAAACACTGCAACAAATACAAATGTGACAACAGAAACGCAAAAGCCGCAACACATTCAGAAGCCACAACACATTAAAAAGCCACAATGGAAGTGACCGCGGGATTACAAATTACTTTTACTTGCGTTTCCAACTTCTCCGTTCCTTTACTTTTCACGTTGTAGTTCTTCTTCTCCACTTGCAGCTTGATTGGTCCGTCGGAAAATAGAGTCCCGCGGTCACTTCCGTTGTGGCTTTTTAATGTGTTGTGGCTTTTTGATGTGTTATGGCATTTGTGTTGTGGCGTTTGTATTTGTTGCGGCGTTTGCATTAAAATAGAGTCCCGCTTTCATTTCCGTTGTGGCTTTTTTTTTTGGGTTTGTTGTGGCTTTTTGTTGTGTTGTCGCATTTGTATTTGCTGCGGCGTTTGCGTTTGTTGCGACGCCTCTCGACTTCCGTACAATTTGCCCGAGGAAAAGAAGCCGCTTAAGCAAAATCTGAAAAAATTCCCCCAGAGTCAGAGTCATCACCAAATCTGCTTAAAGATCCAGCGAGGGACGGTTTGGCTTAAGGAGATCAGATGGGCAGAATTATTAAGGGCGGAGTTAAGCTTCAGGAGGAGCTTGAACGTCTCTTTAAATCCAACAAGAATTCAAGTTTATACATGTGGAAGTTGGAGAATATTGATACAAATCGTGTTATTGTCTTGCCTAATGATTGTGAAAACAGAACAGATCAAACTTCAGGCGTCTGATCGGTGAGAAGGTCCAAAAGTCTGTGCTTCACGTGTTTTTATGAAGTCGAGTCAGATCCTCTGTTTGTGTAAAAACTCTCCAGGCTTTTAAAGACACAGTCGTCTTGTTGTTGTTTCTTGTTTTGCCTCCTCGTCGCGTCCAGGCGCCCGGTGCATTGTGGGAAGAGCGAGCGGATGATGATGGTTTCCTGTTTGGAGCTGATCTGCGGTGAAAGCTCTTCCTCCTGCACGGGAAGCGGCGGAGGAGAAGCACAATGGACTTTTTGGATTACTTGATTTGCTGTAGAGAAGCAAAGACTCGAATATCTTCACATGAGAAGTTTTATCTGCTAAAAGAAAATAAAAAGCCCAGACTTTACTGAACCAAATTAAAAATATTATTGATAGAAGACGAGGAGACACGTCCACGCAGCATGGTTTAGTCCTGTTTTAGTCCTGGTTTACCTGGTTTAGACCTGGTTTAGACCTAGTTTCGTCCTGTTTTAGTCCTGGTTTAGACCTGGTTTAGTCCTAGTTTCGTCCTGTTTTAGTCCTGGTTTAGTCCTGTTTAGTCCTGGTTTAGACCTGGTTTAGTCCTGTTTTAGTCCTGTTTTAGACCTGGTTTTAGTCCTAGTTTCGTCCGTCCTGTTGTTTAGTCCTGGTTTTAGTCCTGGTTTAGACCTGGTTTAGACCTAGTTTCGTCCTGTTTTAGTCCTGGTTTAGTCCTGTTTTAGACCTGGTTTAGTCCTAGTTTCGTCCTGTTTTAGTCCTGGTTTAGTCCTGGTTTAGACCTGGTTTAGACCTAGTTTCGTCCTGTTTTAGTCCTGGTTTTTCCTGGTTTAGTAGTCCTAGTTTTTAGACCTGGTTTAGTCCTGTTTTAGTCCTGTTTTAGTCCTGGTTTTAGTGGTTTAGACCTTGTTTAGTCCTGGTTTAGTCCTGGTTTAGACCTGGTTTAGTCCTGGTTTAGACCTGGTTTAGTCCTGGTTTAGTCCTGGTTTAGTTCTAGTTTAGATCTAGTTTACACCAGCTCTGTTTTTGAGGAACATTCTAACAGTGGGAGTGAACATTGTTTAGTTAAAAATGCTCTTTGATTCCTTCGTGTCCAGGTAAAGACGTGAAGTTGCTG